AAGCTCTTTCCTCCTGCCTGGATGTTACTTCTTCAACATCTTTTGTCTAATGTATTCTCTGTCTCTCCACTTGTTTGAATGCTGTCAACCTTGCTTAACCTTGACACTCCCTGTGCTTTCGCTCCACTCTCCAGTTCAGCCTACTGTTAATTAGATGGTGCCACAGTCTTCAAACAATTAAGCACAGGAAGTGTCAACACTGTTTAGAGCACATCACCCATCTTCACACATTTTCATTCATTGAACCCTCTTCTTCACAGTACAGTACTTCTTTCAGCTGGAACTATGCATCGGCGTTCCTCTCATTTATGTTATCTCATTAATTTATGTATTCTGTACAGATGAATAATAAATGAAGGTAAATGTTTTCTTTCTCCATTTTTCTCATGTTATTTTTGGCTTTATCTTCTTTCTGTGCAGACATGCCCATATTTGGTCAGTGTCCCGCACAGGACGACTTCTACCTGGTGATGTGCAGCCATTGCAGTGAAGTTGTCAAGCCCCAAGCCTTTCAAGCACACTATGGTAAGTGTCACGCACCTAGGAAGAAACAAATGCATGTTCTATACTTAGTGTAAACACTGGTAAATGCTGTGCTTAAATCAAACTAATAATTGGGATGATTAAAAACTATTCAAAAAGTGTTGTTGCCGTATCAGCCTAAAAGAAGATCATCATTGAGTAAAACAGCTGTGATGATGTCACATTTAAACTTTTTATATATTGTTGTTTCAGTTATTAAGAGAACACTAGTGGGTACTTTTACTAACATTTTATTGAGTTTTTAAAATATATTGAATATATTGTCTATTATTACAGTTGTGATATCTAGCTGTTAGTAAGATAAGGGTCGTTTTAAGCATGGCTATGATATAGAGCAATAATGGCGCAAAACAAAGGAAAATATCAATTTTTCAGCCTGCCAGATTTGGTTGTTTTGCATGTAGGTAAAGCCATGACATTACTTAGCACATCTGTGGCATCTCATCCCTTGTAGTTCACTGCCATTTCTGTTCCCTTTTCCACATGTAATCTGAGTGGGCCCACAACAGACTTTGATTTATTTATTTATTTGACACACTGTCTGACTTGTATGTGTTTACAATTCCCCTGTTAATATTTGATGTAGTTCGTTTAGTCTTTCCCCAGTAATCTACAGTTTTCACAGTCAGAGCTGAGATCACATTTCTGCTTTTGCTGAAGAGTTGAGGTGTTTGTGTCTGTCTCCATATGTGTTTGTGTTTTCATTGCATTTATACAGGGTACATAAAAATAAGCACCAGTAAAACACTGGTTTGCCTTTCAGATAAAATCATATACTTAGCCTCACATTAAAATACGAAAATCCCCAAATACCCACCACTACAAAGAGAGAGCATTTACTTCTGTCACAAACAAGATTTTCTTACTGGTCTAAATTTTGATAGCCAATAAAATGCTGCTATTTTGACTAGTACTGCAACATGACTCTTATTTGAAGTATTTTATCAAGAACAGATGATGGAAAAGCACCCCATGCATTATTTTTTTCTCAGGAAAATGTTCATTCTAAGTCTTATGTATTGATAAAACCTTATATTGTACCCATAATCTGCTTGGAATCCTTCCATAATATGTTGTCTAACAATGTTGAACTAATATTGGGATTACACTTAGAATTAACAAACAACTGTGCTTTTCTCCAAGAGAACACTAGCCAATAATACCATCCATCCATTTTCATCCGCTTATCCGTTACCGGGTCGCGGGGGCAGCAGTTGCCACCCAAATCACATTGCACCGTACTAGCCCCCCTGAACCTTCCTGCAGGTGGTGAGTCCACTGGAAGTAGCCAATAATACCCAACATTTTATTGTTCGCTCAATGTAAGAAAGGACGATTCTGTCTTTAAGTTACGATTACTACATGGTCATGGCAGCGATCAACAGCGTTCATCTCTGTCACCAATATTCATAATCCCATCCTGTGCCTTTATGAATATACTGCACCTGTTAAAAAGTTGTCTGACAAGTTGTTGCTGAGCTGAGATGAATGTATGAAGCCAGACTTTAATTGATCATGAATAGACAATGAGACCCCATAAAGCAAACTGTGATTTGTAAATTGGAACTAAGACAAAGTTGTTTTGATTATTGATTTTTGAATTAGGCTCCTGAAACACTGTTTTCTTTGGTTGAGCAATAAACACAAGGGTATTTTTATTTTTAAGTACATTACATAAGGAAAACGTTTGCTTGTGGACACTATAGTAGAGTGTCGATCTTGCATGTTGATGTTTTCTTGACTATCTCAGAGCAGGGAAATCCCCTCAGTGCCATAATAAAGACTTGACAGAGGATATCAAGACTTGTCTTTTTCCTCATGGCTGTTCTCTTTTTTTTTTTTTTAATTCCTCCTACATGACTGCTTGTGTTCCCTCTTCTTTCCGTACCTGGTCCCACCAGGGTTTCTTGGGTGTAATTCTAAATGTTTAGTTGTTGACTATGGCTGAAAAGCATAGGAAAACCTGGATAATAGAAATAACTCTCCGTAGTTGAGCTGCAAACAAGTGTGAAGAACACTGTGTGTTGTGTATAGTTGTGAAACAGGAGCTGGATAAACCTTTAACAATGTGAAGATATGCTAATCTGTGCATGTGTTACTGTGTAGTCGACATTTTCAGTTTGAGACAGAGACAGAGACTGAGACTGAGCCATTTGCTACTTTCCACTCGGTATATTCCTGGTGTACTGTAGTTAGCTTAGCAAAAGCTCAGTAAACAAGTCCCCATGCCTCAACTATCAGAACTGGTTACAGATACTTTTACTTCTAACCAATAACACTTAGCTCACATAGAAGCATGTTGATAACAAGAGGGTCAGGCTGACACTTTCGTCTTTCTACTTGTCCCCTCTGTGGACACACTCATTCTCGCTCCACTTATGGTCACGGCTGCAGGAGTGTCTGACGGTGTCTGTGACCCCACCGTGACCACCAGAGGCCCTGTAAATCTGTTGCTGCATGATGCAAATTCCACGCTTAAGTGTAGTTCTCATTTAATAAAATGTAGATATTAATTTAGGTTAAAAAATGTCTTTGGTAAACTTGACACATTATTGTGTAAACATAGGGGCAATAGCACTGAGTCAAATTTCTTCAATTTTGACCAGTGCACACGAATACACAGATAATATGAATGTGTGAATTTCTCCTTCCTTTATACATTTGATCAGAAAAACAAGTTGTCCCAAAATGTGTTCCTGCATGTCATCCGTTGTGTTGCTTGAGACACAACTGGGAACATTGTTAGACTAAATCTCCAAAACTGCAAGATAAGTCTGTTTTGTTTTTGCAGTTCTTCTTCTGTATTATACAGAAGATCAGCAAGTATGATGCAGTACATGTCAGAGCCTTTAATAACACAGTTGAACATATATGGGCCTGTAAATAAATACCCACCTCATGCCTTGCATACCAGGGCTTTCGACATCCAATTATTGAACATTGTCAAACATCGGGTGAAAGTTCATATGTTAAACTCTGTATGCTTCAGACTTTTTGCCACACATGACATAGTAAGAACAAATTGCCCCTGGATCTCGTACATCACCAAAAGAAGACAGTATCTCTAGTTTGTTAGGATGCAAATTCAAACTGTGCTTCTGAACAAAAACAGACAATACCGAGAAGTCACAGTGGGGTTCTTGGCTTCAACTCAACTCAAGCTATTATCCTTCTTGTTATCTTCTTGTCAGGCACTTAGCATTAGCAGAATGTTGTTTTCTTTTTAGCAGAGAAACAAAACAGTCCTCCAGATGAATATGACACAGAAGTGTCTGAGAGGTCCAAGATGAAGGGGTCTTCAGTACATTAAAACCTGGCTTTTCACTGTTGTACTCATGCATTTACAACAAGAACACAAAGTGCTAAGGTTATACAGCATGTCTTAGTCTACTGTTTAGAAGCATCCAGACTGATTTTAATGAGACTGATATATTAATTGGTATTTCACCTAACATCTGTTTTAAGGTATTCTGCCAGTTATTGGAATTACAATCTTTCACTTCACTATCTGCACTTTGACTAGTGGAAGAATGTGGCCACGAACCATTTAGAAAAATTAAAGCTGACAATATAGTATTTTCTTGTGTTAACCAGATTTAACTATTACTATTGTACAAGGCCCATTAAAATATACAGAAAACAATGTACTGTACTCAGGCCTCATGTCCAGTGTTTGCTTTTCTATGTATAAACTATGCATAACGTGGAGTTAATCCAGATGAGTGCTTTTCTGTCAAACTGGCTATTTATATTTTCTTATTTATCTTGTTTTATTTTTAACATTTTGTTCTTTTGCATAGTATGCACAGCTCTTCTTGTATTTGAATGTCCAATATGAACAATGTTTGGCCTTGATGATAACCCATGGCTTCTTTGGTTATTGAGAATGTGCCTACAATACTGGCATTCTGGGGTTTTTTTGTGTGTAAGGGAATATTTTTAGTGCTCAAAGGCAGCAGTTGGTGGAATGCAGTTTTTTCATCTGGCTATTTTTGTCGTTCTATTCAGGAGTCAGTATCATCGTAACCTTTTCTGCTGTCATACTGCCTTTTATTAGTTTACACAGCAACTGTTCTTAGGCACTGGAGCAGGAAATGAAACTCTTGACCTCCCCGCTGTTTCTATTTCAGAGTCAGCATTAATCACAAATGCTGCTTATTAGTTGTCAAGATAAACTTTCCACATCTGTCAGTATTTCCCATGTCTTATCCTTCCCTTGGCCTAATTACTTCCACATTTACGCAGACAGACTTACAGGTAACATTGCGTTTCTCCATCAAAACTTTGTAATGTGTACTTCTGTTCATTTGTCTGCCAACTACCACATGTTAATACAAGTATGGCTTTTTCTTTTGTTGTAGAGAGAAGACACAGCTCTGTCAGCAATCAAGTCCCCACCCCTCCCTTTCCTGTTTTGGGCAGGAACCGGAGCAGCACCAGTGGGCACGGGCCTGGCCTGGGTTCGGGATCTGTAGCTGGATCGTCGACTGGAGGCGTCCTCGGTAGAGCTTCAGCTGCAGGGTCTAACTTTTCTTCATCAACGTCGTCCTCATCCTCCAATCCCAAACTCCCTAAACCAGCCAAAGAGAAACTGCCAGGCATTCAGCGAAGACCGGCCTTTGCTCCGCTGAGAGTGCTGCAGCCAGACAAGACACAGTAAGTAACAGTTACATCTTCAGTATTGAATAAAAGCTGCTCTAATTTTCAGATCATCTTCCCTTACATGTAGTTTAGTTTGCGACCACATGAGTGATCAACTCAAATACTCAATCATTAAACCTCTAAAATTTTCTAAAAATTTCTGGTGAGCCCAGAGGTACATTTCCCTTATAGAATTAGTTGGGTGGTGTTTTTAATCATGTTTTTTTTTAAATGAAATTGAATGAAAAAACGTTTATTTTTTTAATCAATTACTAGACATTTCAGATGACCCTATTTGAATTCCAGGCAACCCCAAGGTTGAAAAACACTGCTATCGACCTTTACATTCTGATGTGTCCGTTGTTCTTGGTAAAATGATGGATCATTTAAGCATCATGTTCTGTCCTTCCAGCTCCATCCATACATGTACATCTGTCTCTTTTCATGCGTTTCTCACTGGCTCAGTGTTTCTAACTCTCTGCTTCCTCCTCGCTGCTCTCTTCATCTCTGTAACCTTCTCTTCCAGCCTCACCCCGGCTGTCAAGGTGGAGAAGATGCACCTGAGGGTGGACTCGTCAGCTAAGCTGGTGCAGGGCCCACCTGCCCCAACCACCACCACAACCACCACCACCACTGCCTCATCCTTCTCCACATCGTCCTCTAGCACCACTGTGAGCTCCAACACCACCACCACCATCACCACCACCACCACCACCTCCTCCTCATCATCATCATCATCAGCCCTTAAGCCAGGCCTTAACTGTCCCTCCATACCAAAGCCTCAACTGGCCTCGGGTCATATTCCCAATGGCAAGGGACACCTCTTGGACAAGAAGCAGGACAGCTGCAGTGCCAGTAGCAAGCGCCATATGAACAAGAAGCCAGGTAACATGACAAATCAGAAAAAACATTATTTACCTTGTTTTCTTTATAATTAAGACTGTTAACAATTTTAGTAATTGTTTCGACATGTTGCATCCTAATGTACTGATTGTCCTTCAACGATGTGCTTTGTCCTTAGAGCGCGAATTTAATGCAGATATCCACTGTGGTGTCATGGATTTGACAACTCGAAAACCGTGCACAAGATCTTTAACGTGCAAGGTAGGGAGAACGGTTTATATTTCGTACATAGAATATAAATGTTTCCAAGATTCCAGTTTCTATTTCTTGCTGTTCAGATTAAAACTTTCTTAAACTTGAGATTCAATAAATTATTGTTGTTGTTGTTGTTGTTGTTGTTGTATCGTTGGTGGTTACATAGTGTAGCAGGTAGTACACCTGCCTTTTGAGCAGAGAGTTCTGGGTTTGTTTCCCAGAGGATCTACATACCTGGCGCCTCCAAGGGGCACCCTGTTGCTGCAGATCTGCTGTTAACACAAGATTTTCCCCAGTGTGAGCTCAATTAAGTTCATAAAATTAAATCGAAGTGCAGTTAAGTCTGCAAGTGATGTTTCCACCAGAAAATGATCTTAGTGAGATTCCTTTAGTCCAAGGTTCCAACTGAAATCAAGTTTAAATTTCAAATATTGTTTTTTGGTTTTGGAAAAAAAAATTGCAAAGCTTTAATAATTTAAACAGGTTTTCTTTCAAGTGATGTTTACTATGATTTCAAAACTATTTTAGGACAAAAAAACCCCTCCTTTCTTTATCCTGTCCTAGAATTATTTGACTTGCGCCTTTGTACATCGAAGAACATTTTGAAAGTTTTGAATTGTAATAAGTAACAAAGAGGGTAAGTATTACGTAATGTATTACTTTATTAAATATAATATAGACAAAATCAAAAAGTTGTTTTGTTTAAGCCAATGTTTCACCTTTTCACGCATTCGTAGCTGCTTGCTCATATTTACACCAGTTTGTACAATTTGAGTGAAAAAGTGTCAGTTGGAGTTTTGATGAAGTGAAATTATGATATCTGATTTGCATTCAGTGAAAAATACATAGCTGCTTGTTTAAGAAGGTGACAGCAGTTAGTTTCTGTGGGAGATTATTCCACCTTTGTTACAGCTGTTCTGACCATACAGTGAGCTGTCAGCTGATCATTTTGTTAATTGTACTTTGCCTTGTGGCGCTTTTTTGTTTTCGCTGGCCATATGATTGCCCAACGTACTGCAGGCTTTTCTGTATGAAAACAAGTCACATAACGGACTGTAACAAACGTCTGTGTATCTGTTTAAACTGAAAAAACAAAGAGATTAAGACCTGATAATAATTGAATGAATGAATGAGTTAGAAAAGAAATAATTATCAAAGTTCAAGGCACCATTGTCTGCTTTGCATCATGGTGTTGTACTCTGCCTGACCCACTGTGAATTGTGATGTCACAAGTTTATTATAGTAGAAAGAAAATCAATAGTAGTAACTATATCATTTTTTTTTAACCTTCTGTTTTTCAAACAGAGGTAAGCGAAAGGGTTTAAGTTTCTAATTAAATAAAGAGGAATCGGTTCATAAAGTACCTGCAAGTGCACCAGTGAATGAACGGATGTGACAAGCGTTTCTTGTCAAAGGTTCAGGAGATAAAAAATCATGTATTTAGACTTATTATTTGATTGATTTATTGTCAAACATTACAGCGTTTAGTCTGAAATCAGCTCTTTAGTTTGAACAATAACAATCGAATGATGTTGCTTCCATTCATTAAAGGGAAAATAATAGGGAATGCTGGCACCTGTTCCTGATTCATTTATTATCCAACAAATGTCAATATTTCTGCGTTTTAGACTTCTGTTAGATGTGGATTAAATTACAGTTTTATCCTTGATTCATGAGAACTAACACAGCTAATTAAGAATGCAAAAAGACAATTATTTTTTATTACACACTACAATAAAGTCAGTTGAGAGACAATGAAGTCTTATAAAGTCTACAGATTAGACAAAGGAAATGATTTTCACGTCATATGCTTTTGGTCTTCAAGAACTGTTTGCTGAACAGGAAACAGATTATAGCCAACACATTAACAACATAACCATGACAAATTTCACCGACAGCATGCGCACTGGGTTGCCGCGTAAGAAACCTTTTTGGAAACGCAAGCAATCAACTAAATAATTGGCCTTGACAAATTTTCATCTTGGATTATTATGCCAACTAATCCCATCGTTGGTGTCATTTTTCTCTTTTGACCAACACCATGCTGACCATTTGAATGAACTCTTCATATGTCACAACAGACACATTCCTTAAGCCAGCGGAGGGCGGTGCCAGGGCGGCAGAAGCGCTTTGACACATTGTTGGCGGAGCACAAGAACAGAGCAAGGGAGCGTGAACGAGAGAAAGAGCTCCACCAGACCCATTCCCAACAAACCCCGCCTCTCAGGGAACCACACCCTCCCACCCACCTCTCCTCTGCCCATGATGCCCACCAGGTGGCACATAGCAACGGCCCCACCCCAGACGCCAATAAGCCTTCGCCACTCAAGCCCAGATTCCACAGCCCTGGTCTTCCACGGTCAGTACTGTGTCAGACACAGGCTACGCTTTGTTTTCTCTTTTTCTTTTTTACTTCTTTCTTTCGAGGTAGATGTGTAAATAAGGAAGGGGATTCTACCTAATTTTTGCCCTGCATCCTGCTACTTTCTTTGTTAGACTAAACAGCAGTTATGGAGTTGTAACACCCGCAGACCCCGCAGTAGTCCATGAGTCACCACACACACACCAAACTACCCCGGATGGATTTTTCCGACCTTCCAGTGATGAGGGCGAAAATGAGGAGCGGGAGGACAAGGCTGACAAACTGGACTGTCACTATTCAGGTTATCATCCTCGACCGGCAGCTGTAAGTGATTTCTGTCATCACTGGACTGTAATGGGTTAATCAGTTCAACAGTATTTGAAGTGTGAAGTTTTAATGTTTTTGATCTGCTCCCAGTACTGTACCTTTGGAAGTCGACTGTTTGGCAGGGGCTTTTATTCGTTTGATCGGAGATGGGACAAAGTACGATTTGCTTTCACCACAATGATGGACAAGCATGTCAACTCGCAGATGTGGAAGTAAGTCTGTCCTCTTATACCAACATATACCTATTATATTTACACAGCAGAAGGTTCTTCTTGAGTTCAGAACTTTTCTTTTTTTTAAGTTAACTGGTTACATACATTTTTAATGATTTTCATCTGGGTTGAAGAAAATGATGCTTAGACATCTGAGTCATCATTTATCTACAATGATGATAAGGCTAAGTATGCTGCATAGCTCTCTTTTTGCTGTCTACTTGGTTTATTTTCTGAAATGAGGAAAATATTAGGAATAGATTGTATAGGGTAGTGTATATTCAGAAATTATTTGATGTTGACATTTTATTGATTATTTGATTTAGTTTTTAGGAAATAATTTGTTTCTATGTTGAAATGTTTTGTTTGTGTCCAAATTTGAACAAAGATTAATTTGGTGCAGTAAAAATTAAAGTCATCTATAGCATTAGCTATAATGTTACTTTTAGACCTTGAAAACCATTTAAAGATTGTAGTTGCTTGGATCAAACTCTATTTCTAAATTATTCTACTCTTTTTTTGCAGGAAAATTCCATTGGCCTTGGAAAACTCCTCTGTTGCACCGACCCATAGGACAAGCACAAATTCCCACAGTAGCACTCCCTCCTCAGGCTTCCTGGGCCCCCCTGCCACTTTGCCCCAGACTCCTTATAGCCAATCGTTTGAGGGCAAATCAGTGCTCTCCTATGGGACCACCTTAAATGCCCGAAGCTCCCCACAGGGAGGGGCTGAGAACCTGGCCTACGGCACCACGCAGAGCCGACAAGTGTCTTCGTTGCCGCAGATGCCTTCAGCCCATTTGTCCCTATCTTCCTCGTCTTCTGCTTCTTCCCTCGCCTCAGGCCGGGTGCCTAAGTCCCGCCCCTCCAGCAGCAGCACTACCAAGTCATCAGCATCATTTAAGCCCAAGGATCTCTCCTCTGGCTCCTCCACACCTGTGGTTCCCATTGTCCCAGGGGGAGGTAGCAGTGGAGTGAACATTAACAGTAGCAGCACTGGCTTCAGCTCGGGGAAGAAGAGGAAGAACAGTTCTCTCCTCTCATCGTCCCACGGCTCTTCAGATTCCTCCTCATCTTTTAATACCAACTATCCTTCCTCCTCCCCCTCCTCTTTTAAAAAAAACTGTGCAAATGTCAGCAGCTCAGGGAGCACCTACCACCACAGTTCATTAGGTTCTTCATCCTCATCCTCATTATCCTCCTCCCACAGTGGGGTTCATAGCATGGGGCTCAACTGTGGCCCCAGTGTGCGGTCCAACTCACTCAGCCTCAAGGCCGAAACCTCCGGAGGTTCTGCGGGCGGCTCCTCAGGGGCGCCTGCACGGGGGCCGGCCTCAGGCAGCCCAGCCGAGTCAATTAAGCGCATGAGTGTGGTGATGAACAGCACTGACTCCACCCTTTCTCTGGGGCCCTTTGTTCATCATCACCCGTCCTCATCCGACCACCACACCAGCTTTAGCCACCACTCTTCAGACGGTCGCCTGGAGGGTAAAAAGCGCAAAAGCTCTCCTGTCTCCAGCAGCATGAACAGTGGACTGGGTGGAGTAGGAGCAGCTGCAGGAGGAGGAACCGTAGGAGGTGGAGCAGGTGGACCAGGTCGACCCAAAATGGCTAAGTCACCTGCTATTAACAACATTCATGGGAAACATGGGCGGAGCATTTCAGGGACACCAGGGTTGCCCAACAACTCCCATTTACATCAGGTGAGCGATATTTTCTCAGAACATTTTTACAATCAGTCAACTAAGCTTTTTTTTTTTTTAAATAACAGTTTTTGTGGTTTTCTTTTTTTCCCCCCCTCCAGCCAAAGGCCCGTCCCTGACAGTGTCTGTGGCTTCAAGGTATAGAACTGGCACGCAGATGTGGGAATTATCCAGAGCTGTGCATTTGCATGCAGCACTGGACTGCAAGAGGCCTTTTAAAAATCCAAACCCACATTACTCTCAGCTTCCCACAATCCTCAGGGTGGAGATGACCTGGACTGCCCAGTGAAGTCGATGTGGTCCTTATGAATTCTCCCAAAGCCATGTGTGTGTGTGTGTGTATGTACTGTATGTATGTGTGTATGGGGGCACGTATGTGTTTAACATGGTAGCTTGTGGCACCGGGGGTCTAATGAGTGAGCCAAGGGCCCCCAACCCCTTACCCTGCAAACACACAAGTGTTGTCCTTGACTCTGAGAGGTCTTCCTGTTGAGTTGAACATAGGACGAACAGCAGCCATGAGATTGTGAAGGGTGTTTCATGTCATGGCCTGGGTCATACTTTTCATGTGCGCAGAGGTTCCCAGATGTGAATATCAGAATTAACAGCTGTCTATGAAAGTGCACAAGGAGCGGACCAGGTGGACTGTCTGCTTTATCAGGTTTTGTACAGGGAATTTGCAACACTTAAATTTTAAAGGTGTTTCCTCAGTGCTGTAATAAGTGTTAGATTTTGGAAAAGCTGCTTGGAAACAGTGTTTCCATTTCCTAGGATTAATGTTTCCAACTCTTTTTGTCTCTATTTTCACAGTGTCAGCGCCACATCACTGTGTTCTTTTGTTAATAGAACAAGAAAGGATTCAAAGCATAAAAAGCAGATGTTCTGAGAGAGCCCTCTGCTGGACTACTAGGTTATTACTTTCCACTCTCTACATATTAGGATGAATGAAGTCTTCAAAAAAGAAATCCAAAAGAAAAGATTGAAGTCTCGTGGTGAGAACTTTCACCAGGGCTTCAATGTGCCTGTACAGCTCTAATGAACTTAAATATATTTTTGTTTCAAAGATGATTATAATATAGAATGTCCTATTTGCAGTTATTTTTTGTTATTCTTGTCATACTTTTGATAAAGCTTCTACACCATGATGTAATCTTCTGATATTTTCAAGTATGTATTGTCAAGAATATCTCAGTGGTTGGTAAGCCATCCTGCAAGTCTTAAAAAACGAATTGGGGAACTAATTAAGTATGACAAACAGATTCATGATTAACAAATTGTGACAATGCAATCTATAATAGATCTGTAGATCTATAGCCATGTTATCTAGACAAACTACCTATCTACCTATTTGCAACTAAAAATAATTTTCAAAGAGGTTTTCATATATTGCCCACTAATCTCCAGAGTTTAAGATATTTTTTGAGGACCTGACACTGAGTCACTGCTCTGTGAACATCAATAACTTATTAGTGGAGCCAAAGATGTATGTACTACAGCTTTAAAAGAGATTGGAATTTATATTTGTTGAAATTCGACCTGTGAAAAAGGTGCTTGAACCCTGACTTTTGACACGTCCACCATTATCGAAAACTCTACAACACTGAGCTCATGTGCACTCATAGAACGCTTAACTGACACAGTGGCCCTGATTTATTTAATTTAAAAAAAGTCTGGCCATATAAATTTACTTCCGTACTTATTTACGTCTGCATAAAACTAAAGATGGAGAGTATAACCCAGACCTACAGGCTGCTGCAACAAACTGTTGCAATGCCATGCACCTTGGGAAATGTGAAGCTCAACTCTTCCATGTTTGTCAGAGAATGCATGCGTTACATCCACACTACTACGCTTTATTTATAGGAGTTTACACGTCTTTCTGACGTAAGCAAGTCCCTAGCAACACATCAAGGCACTGTCTCACCAGAGACTTCTATAGGTATTACTGAAAAGTGTGTATCAGGTTTCCAGAACCAAAAGTGTTGTGTAAAAACATGACAATATTCTGGGCTTGAAACCCAGGGGTTGTGTGAATAACAGACAATATTTGGAGCAGAATTACTGATTCCCCCCCTTGCATTGAAAACGTATTAGTGTGGATTTGGGCTGAATGTGCAAATGTGAGTAAAAGACTTTTTTTATTTTTTATTTTGTTGCATCAAGATGGACTCTGCTGGACTACTGGAACTTTAACGCCACACCAAGCGACTGATTTCTTAAGCCTTGGAAGAGGAGCAGCCAACTGTTAGGTTAATTCACACCAGTCCCACTGGCCTAGCTGATGTAACAGAAGACCTGGGGTCTCACATGTGCTGTACCCTAAGAGGAGCCCACGAGGATGATGTGGTGGATTCTTTTATCACCCAGAATAATGATTATGCAAGTGTTTATCTTTTTTTAAGGAAAATAATTTTCGTATGAGCTTTTTACACTGAACTACGAAGAGTCCTTGTAGAAGTGAAGAAGACACAAAAGTCATGCTTTCAAATGTGAACAGGACACCTGATGTGCCCGTTGGATATATTCCTTTGTTGGAAAGTAATAGATTGCTGTCGAGGGGCACTTGCTGAGTATGTGAATCCTTCTATCGTGCAGAACGATCGAGGCAGAAGACCCTCATCCTCCTGTCGCCCCCTCCTTCCCAACTGTGAACGGCACTATATCTGCATCCTTCACAGGTACTGCTTCATTGTCTACAGAGCTAGCCAAAAGTTGCTTTCAGCTTTGCCAACATCTTTATTGTGGCTTTTCCTTTCTTCTTTTTGTAAATCCAAACAAAGAGGTGGTTGGATATCGCCCGTTAAGCGGTGGTGGGGCATTGACGGCTATCCGGCTTTCTACCTTCTCAAAGCTGCGTCCACAGCTGGTGTTGTGCAGGTGTGTGAATTGTAGTGTTTCATTCTTCCGTGGTGGAGAATCAGGTTTGGTACGTCCTAACTGGAACAACCCCAGTGCACGTTGCTGCTCATTTTCTGTGGTCGTGATCGTCCCTTCAATAATTAACCACTACCCATCTCTGAATGTTTAAGAGGTAATTAAGGTTTTTTTTTTTTAATTGTAGTTGCATGAACTAATGACAAATGCAGTCTTTTTCAAAAAACAGCCCCTTTCTTCAGATACAACCAAACATCCCTAAAAAGCCACCTTTCAATTTTAAGTATTCTGAAACTGGTTCAACTTAGCCAAAAATAGGACCTTTTGCCTTCAAGAAAGGAGATGAGGATTGTCCTTCAAGTATATCATTTTTTTTTACCTCCTGTCACATACTCTCTACTAAAAATAATGCATCCCTTTTCATCGAATATTAAAATGGAACACCGCTGCCTCTTCTGGTGAGATACATCACATTAAGGATTTAACAGTGAAGGCCAAAGAAGTCCATTAGTCCAGTAATGAAGCTGAGTAAAAAATATTATAGCCTTGTTAAGCATCTGGACCTTGAGTGAATAGTTCATACAACTACATTTAAGAAAAACCTCTGGCTTGTCTTCAGACTTCAGTGTGTCACTGTAGAGCCATGTTGGTGTGGGTTGGGAGGCGTCCCAGTAAAACGGACTGATGTTGTTGCTTCTGGGCGAGGCCTTGCGCCTGACTTTACTCTAAGATTTCTTTTGTACAGTGTGTGGTCTGAGCTGGTTCATGGTGCCAGATTCATTGAGATGACTTCAACAGGACATATTTGAATTTTGTTTTCGGCATTATGTGTTTTACACAGAACTCTACTGATGTCTTCAAGCGGGAAAGTAGAAGAGCTGTTTTTAGAGGATCATAATTTAGCCTTCGTCGTTTGTAGTCCATGTGTTCAACGATGATTGAAGTATCCCTATTTGAGAATACATATTTTGTTAACAAATTGTACATAGTCAAATATGTATTTTTGCAAAGGCGTTTTTTTTTCATACACACTAAATTTTTGGTACAATAAAAATATTTATTTAGAGAGGGAAAAAAAGGTTAGGATAAGTTGACTAATTCAAGTGGTTCACTGCCAAGTCTACAGAAATTATTCAATCGCAATATGCCCATTTATGGAAGCTGAAGCATCTCATGAATCAAGTACTGAGATTCCTTAAAGAGACGGCGCTGAAGTGTTGCTGCTGTAGCACGTGTCTGACAGGATTTAACCTGAATTCACTTTTTAAGGTCTCAATCATTCTTGCTTTCGGTTCTGTTAAGAATGCTTGGAGATTAACTGGACAGAAGTTAAATGCTAATTATAGACTGTGTATATATAATGGACGTGGTCTTCTGGTTCCATCAGCGTCACCGCCACTAACTGTGGAGTTTAAATGAAAGCATATGAGAAAATGGGTTTCAGTTGTCCTGTCTCATAAATCATTTAAAGAGAAATATTTGACAAGCGCATAGAACGTGTCTGGACACTGATTTACAACTGGGACTAAACAGATGACTAATTAACATTTTTTAAATGCATCACAGTGGTACTTTCAACTGAAGACCATGTCTATTGTTATACAGCTAATGGCTGTGTCTCAGTCTCTTGGTTGTGGCTAGAGGTCCACACAGTCTCGCATTCCCATCACTGCTCAGTGTGGATATCTGAAGATAGTATCAAGTTAAGCCTTAGTTACATTAGCTTATTATTAAAAGTATACTAGTAAAGAGCCAGGGTATAACGGTGGAACAGTGGATACAGTTGTTACCCAACATCCAGGTCAGTAGGACACGCCCTAAAGTGCACAGCATTCTGTTTATGAGTAATTAGAAATTAAACTGACCACTGAGTGCCTGCCACTGTTGTATGGACATCAAATATCAGAGATGTGGACTTTGTTTAGGGCACACACTACATATCCTTGCAGCATTCTTGACAGTGTCGTAGGTTCCTGCAGACGAAATGTGGTAATGTGTGGACACCATCACCTGCAGCCCATAAATTGAGACATGGCCTCATTCAATGACTGCATAGAGCCTGAGTCTTTGTTTTTAAGGGTATGTCATGCTCCTGAAAGCCAACTGGTTCTTTAGTCATGTTTTTTTTTTAACTCCGTGACTGAAAACAATTTTTTTTGTTTAAAGGAGGATTGATACAGTGCTTTTTTCTTTCTTTCTTTCTTTCTTTTTTTTTTTTTTTTTGAAAATGGGCAATAAACCCACGGACAGAGTTCAGCTGCTTTGCATCATCACCATTGCCAAACATCAAATTTCGAATTCCAGCTTTTTTATTTTTAAAGAAACATCAAATTAATGAGAAGTGCCTGAATTTTTAATTTTTTCCACCGTGACTGTTTCGAGGACAGTATTCTTTGGGTTGTTTGACCTTACTTGAATGTCAGTAAGTGTTTGAGGAGTTTGCTTTATAAAAAATCTGCCTAAAAACCCTAAACATGGTTAAAAAAAATCCGAGCTCATCAGCTGCCCAGTTTCAAATGCTGAGTGTGTGCTTTCTTTTATTAGTTTTCTAGCAAAAATTTGGAAACGAGAAACGTAGCGTGTTCTCAACTGTGTGGCTGTTTGTCCACAAGAACGTTTCAATCAAGTGCTTTTGTTTACTGACAAACTCCACTGACATCTTTGACCTTTGTTCCCTCTGTGGAGACTTTTCGAAGACTTGGAATGTGAAAGTGAGAGAATACAGCTCACGTTTAGGAGGGAAAAGAAATAATTCATCGTTAATCACTATGTAAAAGTGTGTATAGAGTTTTTTTTTGTATACATTATCAGAATCATCTTCAGCTGGACTTTAAAGTGTTGGCTGCTATGTAATTCATGAACAAAACATAGGTTAGAATTAATATTTAAAGAAAAAAAGATTGTATAGTATATTTGTTTTGTAACAAGTTTCTGTAAATAAAATAATTTATACTGTTATTTATATGAAAACATGTCTGTGAAATTATTACAGTCCATTAGAAGAGCAGCAGTTAAACAAAACATTTGTGTAAATGACATTTTCTGCAACGTAGAGAACCATGGCTGCCGTGTTGGTTCACATGTTGATGACCCTGGACAGTTTCTGGACTCTGTTCAGTTTTTGCTGTTGGGTTTTTTTTCCACCCAACTATTTTCAACTTTTGACCAACATGACATGCAAAATTTGAATTGTGCCAAAAAATTAAAAAAATAATTTTTTCCCAAAACATTTTCAAAATGCTATAATTTGGTGAGAAACAACAATACATTTTTGAATTTTTTTTTTTTAAGATTTTAATTCAAATTTTTCAACTTTTGACAAGCATGACATGCGAAATTAGGACTTTTCTGGAAAATTCTAAAAATGTTTTTTCACAACAATTTTTCAAAATGTTTTAATTTGATGAGATACATACAGAAAACATAAAAAAGATTTTCGTGAAATTTCTTTGACTGTTGAACATGACATGCGAAATATGGATTTTGCAAAACAAATATATATAAGAGATAAGTATAAAAT